ATAAAAAAATGGAAATTATAGATGGTTGGTGTCCAATATTTATAATTGACAAATAAAAAGGTTTAGGAACTGAAATTTCATTAATATTTATTTGTCATATTATTATGCATGCATGACATGCGGTTTAACCTTTATACAGTCATAATAAAATATATTTATAATATACTATTAATTGATTAATTCTATGATCGGCAACCCATGGGTCGTGACCCAAGTTTGGGTCGTGAGTGAATTTTTGTGGGTCGTCTCTGATCGCATCTGTGTGTCCAAAAGATTATACAGAAAGTAATTAAATACTTTAAAATCAGAAGATTCGAGTCAAAACATCGAAACAAAATATTTTTAAAATAAAATACGGTAATTTGATAAAATGTTGGCTATTGTCTTTAATTTGCGTGCCTGCATGCAGTGTACTATAATCTCAGTCAGACCGCCGTTTGTTTAAAGTCCAATTAAAATGATGCTTTCTAAGTTGCTGATTATTGAAGTATTAAATATGTTTAACTAATGAGTGGTACCAAAATATTTAATTTTTGATTTATAAATATTAAAAATGACGGTTTAAAATATTAGTATAAGCCCCGCCCACTGGAGATGTTATCGTATAGTTATGAAAGAGGTTCAGTTGTGAAGTACTGATCTAAAAAAAGAAGCAAAGAAATGGAGCAGCTTTATTAATTTGAGCCACTAGTAAGCGAATTTGGAAAACAAAGAATTGAAGACCAGACATTGTTAGAAAAACAAATCGATTGGGCAACACTAACGAATTTTGAGCACTATACTAAATAGGACTACTGTCCTACTCTAGGCCTGACGGACTAGGCCTAAGCAGAGTTACAGCACGAACACTCGTCAGCGTACGATGGTTAATATTATTAGTAATAATATACATTGTTTACGTCTAAATTACCTTACAGTCTGTATAATTAAGCATATTTTGCAAAATGTTTACATTACGATGTAACGTGCGAAGCTGATATTTGATGTACACTTTTTTTTCTTTTATAAGAACCAGTAAAATTTTGCTCAGGCTCAGTGTTCTTATTTTTTGGCCAATTTCAGACTCAAAATGTTCTTATTTTGTTTCTTATGTTACACACTTTTCAAACATTACAAATTATTACTGTACAGCAGTATCACTGTACTGGAATGTAGGTAGGTAAAAAGTGGTCCTGGAAAAAATGGTCCCTGAAAAAAAGGCCAGAGAAAAAAATGCCCCTGTAAAAATGGCCCCAAATGACAGGTTGTACACCTACCGTACTGCATTAATAGAGGGTATTACTTACCTACTGCACACAAGGTAGATATAATTTTTTTTTTTTTTTTTTACAAAATTTTATTTATATTGACCTAAAAGTGAGTTACAGTAGAACTAATTTATATTAATAATTTTCATTGCAAAATTAATTTACCGTCAATATGAAATCAGCAGTAATGTAATCAAAACTACAATAGTTATATGTTATGTTCTCATTTTCGTGATGCGAATTCAATGACCAATATTCTTTTTTCAATATTGAGCTTTCTATTGGATGCATGTATCATATAATAGAGTAAACGACTAAATAATTAGTAGGCCCTATGTTATGATACAGATTTGAATCCTAAAAATAAATTCAAAAGGCGTTGAAAGATTTTTTATTCGGAGACTGCTCTAATTTTTACAAAACTGTACAATGAAAAAAAAAACGGTACTCGACAATAAATAAAGTACTAGTTCTACATCAGTAGGCCGATGCATTTCTGGTTCCATTCTACACTTAGATACTTACTGATGAGATTACATTGAAAATAGTCCTAGGCCTACGTCACTAAGATTTTCTCTGTGACGTTCAGTGCGGCGAAAGTGACACACTTCAAGGTGTGCGCGACTACTAGACTGAACCGGGAAGCAAGAGAGCAATGCCTAAGGTAAGCTAGGGCCTAAAAAATGAGATGTTATTACAAGGCCTCAGGCCTAGACTTTACAATAAAATTTGTCTGGGTCATACATGGAACTGCTCTGGAATGATTCCAGTTAATCTCCAATATTTATAGATCTCTAATTCCTGTAAATCGGAAGAAATATATCTCTGATTCGCACACCAAATCTCGCGATCGCGAAGCTCGCACGCGGGTCCCACTCTTCCGGCAACAAACATATATGACCTACGTTGACCTAAATGTTGACCAATCATAATCAAGAAAAGTTCGAAAACTGCACTACGTACCGTGTAAAAGTCTACTTTCAAATAGTGCTGAACTTTTATGTACGTCATATTTTGGTAACTGCTAGTATGTTGTTTTACATATAATTAAGTTTATATTTAGATCATAAATCGTTCTGTTGCAATTTTGTCCAGTCAAATCCGTATTTCCGGTGGACTAGGTGGATAAACCAGGCTCAACTCACCGGGTTTATCCACCTGCCAGAAATGACTACAGGGAAAACGTGACCCTACTATTTGTTATCAATGGCAGAGAAATAGTTATGGTTGAAGAAAACAAATATTTGGAATGTGTCATAGACCACAAGCTTTCTTGGAAGTTAAATACAAACTTGTTATTACACAAATCTTCTCATGTCCCTAGAACAAAATCAAATCGTTTCCGATATGCATTTGTAGCCAATTCCATCCACCTAATTAATTCTCGGGCCAAAATATAGTTGTATGGTTTTTTTTAGTGCAATCACAGGTGGAGGTATGAAATAATTATTTAAATAATTATTTTATACCTCCAGAATCAATTATAGTTACAAGTATTCATCTTCGTGCACTGTTTTTATATGTATTTTGTACATATAAATTAGATTTTTATTGTACATATTAATTTATTAAAACTTTCTATTTTTATAATAACAATAATAATAATAATAATACAAAATAAAATTTATATTATTTTCTGTGCTTTCGTGATTTTAAATGTTAGTTCAGTTAAATGATATTAATTAATAATTATAATGTACGGTATTACTTCTTAATGTATTGTTTTTATATGTATTTTGTACTGTATATCAATTTGATTTCTTTTGTACATATTAATATATTAATTTTTTATATCTTTTACAATAATAATAAAATAAGAATAATAATTATACTGTATAGTAGTGATAATAATATTAATAATAATAATAATAATAATAATAATAATAATAATAATATTTATTTAATTTTCTGTGCTGCTGCGATTTTAAATGTTTGTTGAGTTAAATGATAAGGTTTTCTTAATGTATTGCTCTTCTTATATGCATGTTGTATCTAAATTCGATTTTTATTGTACATATTAATATTTTGAAACCTTTACTCAGTTATAATAATTTCTTATAGATAGCAATATTGATAATAAACCTAATATAAATTATATTTGTTTAAAATTTCATATTTTTTTCAGGTGCGTGCCCAAAATTTTTTTGCCCAAAAAGCAAACCTGGCCATACTTATAATCAACTGTATCATGAATATGCATGTGGACCAAAAAGCTCAATAGATTATGGTAAACTATTATTTGTTTGTTTTCATTTTATGCTCAAAATCATGCAAGAAAACATAAAAAGGAATGAAAAAGAGGAAATTACAGAAAAATCAAATTACAAAGCAGAAAGCAAAGGAAACATCAAAAAGGTGAAAAGAAATCAGACAATTCACAGAACATAAACGAAATGAACAGAAAAACACAGTTTCATATATCAAAAAAACAAAAGAAAAAAACCACAATCAAACAAGGAACCATATAAAAAGCTAAAATGATAAAAGCAATATTATAACTGATGTCCAGATAAAAAGTAAATTAAATTTAAAAAAAATATTTAAACAAAACTAAATAAACAAGTAAATACAATTTTAATCTGCTTTACATAATTATTCAACTGCAATGCCTATTTTCGTACTTCTAAAAGCAATACAATATTGTTACACCATTGAGAAATAATAAGTTTCAACAGAAAAATGAAAGACATCGTACTGTTTTGTTAATTGTTATTATAAATGCAGTGATTATTTCAGCAACTCTGATATAAACTAAATTTGAACATTTTGTCTATTAGTTTTTGAGGTGGTTGCTGAAGGTAAAGTGACGGAAAATGGATTCACGACGCTCACAGCATCTGTCAAAGAAGTGATGAAAAAAGGTTGGTATGTTAATAATAAATTAGTAATATAAACGATAGTAATAATAAAACTAATATTATTTTGTATTTTTTATTATCGTTATTATAGTTACTCTCGTTGTCTGTGCCGTTTTCATTATTCAGAACAATGTAAGAGGTATCAGTGAAGCGACCATCACCAAGTACTAATGAAAATATACATTAAAAATCTATTATTGAATGACGCAAAATTAGGCTAATTTTATGTTGATAATAAGAATGATGGGGTTGATTATTGTATTTTATTGGATTAGCTTTTAATGTTATTTATGTAAATTATGTCCCGTTTTAAGTCATAGATTATAGATTATACTTAATAATTTATAACTATACCTTCAACGATTAGTTTTATTATTATTATTATTATTATTATTATTATTATTATTATTATTATTATTAAAAATTAAGATCAGCTTCAGCTTTTCTGAATTTTTAATGAGTATTTCCAGCCTTCTTCATTCATCCTTACTAACACAACTCTTGTAACTCAATCATGGATAATGGATCCAAACACCATTTTAAAAGCAATAAACCAATATTTAATCCGGACATGTTTCACCTGTATCAGACAGTCAACATTAGTAAATTAAAGAACTAAAACCTCAACAAAAATGCCACGTTAGCTTTTATTTTGTGTCAAGACTGTTGGAAACGTAACAACGAAGTCATTGAAGTCTATTCACCCAAGGTAATTCAACAGAAGGACGCACATCTCGGGACATCAAAGGTTATGACTCTGGCATCGACATTCTAGGCGCAAGTGCGTCCCTACACGCTGAATGTCACAAAACCCATAGCAACCAGACCATACCGTCAGCGTACGTGACGAATTACCCACGCGCGTGTCAGTTGCCATGATAATCGCGCGTCGTGCGGTGATTACAAAGGCCTAATGATATGTTGCGTTAGACTGAAATTATATTCTTCATTTCAAAATTTTACCGATATTGTGGTGTGTTGTTGTTCATGAGACTCACTTCGCAGAAAAAATTAATAAATGTTCTGTATCTACTCAAATGTTCGTTTTGTGCACCTTAGTCCAACATTGTCAAAATTACAGTTTAATGTTACATAAGAACATGAAATTTTATAAAATTCGTAAATTTTCAATTGCTTTTAATTTTCTTGGTCAATTTTCACAAATCAAATTGCAGTTTATAGAAGCATTTAACAAGCCCGCGGTCAAAAGAAATCAGATGTAACAGACATTGCGAAGTACCCAAAATAATTAAAATAGTAACTAACACCATAAAACGTATGGCACGCATAGACTAATAATTGACGGCTGCACTCGCAACTAGTATTGGATTGTCGATGCCAGAGTAAAGATCAAAGGACTGTGCGTACACGCTATGTTCGAGAGCGGAGATGTGCGTGCTTCTGTTGAATTTCTTTGATTCAACAACATTCCTCTGGAGGAGTCAATTGAACTTGCAATCGACTATATCATTAATCCGATATTGGGTGCAAAATCAAACCCAAAAACCTATAAAAAAAATGCTAAAACCAAACCATCAGATGCCCAATTCCTCTTCAATCAAAGATAGCTTCGATAAACTGACAGTGTTAGCATGGGATCACCACTGGTGGCATGGTACTTTTAGTGTTGTTTTGATGAAAATAAATGGCTGAATCAAGAGGATTGTCCTATTTTACACTAAGCATGTCGATAATACATTTTCTTATTCGTATTTTTTATTGCCAAAAAAACGAGACCATAAACAAAGACAGTCAACTCAGGGAGTAGACAGGAACCAAAATGTGAACTAAATCATTGTCACAAAAGTTGATTCTTACTCCCAAAGTAACATAACAATGAATATATAAATATATAATGAACTCATACTGTAAAAGATTATCGTATATTAAAAACATTAAAACTATAAAAATCAAGCAGTTCAACCAAACGAAAAAAAGGAAAGCAGGGATGAACCATCCGATACGCGGCGCAATGCAACAATGCATAGGGGCTATGATATAAAACATGCGATTTAAGCGATCGCAGAAATGTTGGAAAGGAATCAAGGATAAGGGATTTCATGGAGTTTTTCCCAAAGTCTTGGAAACAAATGAATGGCAGAATGGTGAAGAGAGTTAGTTCGTGCATAATGGTGTCTGAACAATAGCGTCTCTTGATGCCGACTATTAACAAGCGTGAACTGACGGATGTTACGACAATCAACAACTGCAATAAACGATAACAGAAGAGAATCTCTGCTAGCAGATAAGCTATTCCATTTGAGTTTAGTGAGATGATCTTTGTACTCAAATTTAATGATAAGTCTTTTAGTTCTTCGCTGAACTGCCTCAATACGGTCTACAAGTTCTTTAGTATGAGGCAACCAGGAAGGGAGACTGTATTCAAGTTTATGAATAACGAGTGCTTTGTAAAGGGAGAAAATGGCAGAAGGTGAGGTCCTGGAGCTCCCAGCAGTGCTGGCAATGACACCAAGCATTCTGTTCGAATTCGAGATAAGTTTGTTAACACGGTCATCCCAAGTAAGTTTACAATTAATTGTAACCCCCAATATGACGATGATTCAACTCCGCATGATAATAGGTGAACCAGCTAGATAATGAACTGGTCGGAATTTTTTTTTTTTTTTTTTTTTTTTAACAGGTAATGTAGAGAATTTTAGTTTTATTTAAATTAGTTCCATTTCATTTAAATCACACCAGAAAGTGAGACGATTTAATTGAGGCTGGAAAGCAAATTCATCGTCAACAGAGAAAAATTTTAAATAAATAATGGTATCGTCAGCAAACAATGTACAGTGGGAGAGAAGAAAAGTAGGAAGATCATTATGGAAAAAATGAAGATAAGAGGACCGAGAAACACTTCTTTGGGGGATACCAGAAGAAACAGGGGACGATTGGCTAATTGTACCTTGGTACAGGACTCTTTGGCTTAGAAAAGAATTGATCCAATTCCAAACATTACCTCAAATGTTAAAATGAGTATCCAGTTTATTTAAACCAATGTGGTGGGGAAGTTTACAGAACGATTTATCAAAGTCCAAAAAGACAATATCAATTCGGGGAAGTTAAGGTCTATCGACGAAAGATGCCCAGGAATGTATCAAGATTGTAAGTTGGGTAACACAGGACCGGGAAGAAAAAGATCCATGGTGAGAATCGCTGATTGGACAGCAATAAGCAACGTGATTGGATATACCAATCAAAAATTATTTTTTCAAGAACTTTGGAATAAAGTGGGGTAAGAGAAATTGGTCTGTAGTTGCAAATAGAGGACTTGTCTCTGGATTTATATATGGGAGTAATGTGTGAAACCTTCCAGGCAGTAGGGATTTTACCCTTCATAAGTGACATGTTAAATAAGTTAAATAAGAG